GCGAGACCCCGGCTCTACAAAAAATAGAAAAATTATTGGGCCTGGGGGCGCGCACCTCTAGCCCCAGCTACTCAGGTGGCTGAGGCAGGAGGATCACTTGAGCCCAGAAGTTTGAGGTTGCTGTGAGATATGGTGACGCCACTGCACGCTAGCCTGAGCAACAGAGGGAGACCCTGTCTCAAAACAAAACAAAACAAAACAAATAAGCAAACAAACACACTGAGATCATGTCCCTCCCCTGCTCTAAAACCTCCCATGGCTCCCGATGCCCCTCAGAGTAAGCACTCAAGTCCTCAGCTTGGTCCCCAGGCCCTGCACATCTGTCTCCCTTCCTCACTTCGGTGCTGTCCCCCAGCCCCACGCTGCTCCAGCCCCACAGGGCTGCTCCTTGTTCCTTACACACTTGACCTTCGAACTTGTCTGGAGCTCCCTTCCAGGGAGCTCCTCCCAGCCCTTCCCAGCCAGTCACCTCCTCAGAGAGGCCTTCCCAGATCTGTCCTCCTCCTTCCCAATCTCCTATGGCCCTTGGCATCGTCTGAAATCACCTCGTTTGTTTATTTTTTCATCTGGCCTGTCCTGTGTCCTCTGTCTGTCCCTCTGCCCAGACGTGTGAAGGTTAAGGGCTCAGAGTCTAGAGCCAGGCTCAGCCACTTTGTGGTCTAGGACCCTGGGCAAGTGACGCCCGCTCTGAGCCTTAGGGACCTCATCAGTAAAATGGAGATCATAACCTCACCCACTCGCAGGGCTGTTGTTGATGGTGAAGGGAGTGGTTTAGAAGAGCTAGGGCATACAGTGAGAGCTTAATCAATGTTAGTGCAGGTACTACTGGTCCACCACTGTATCCCCAAGAAGGAATTAGGAGGGCACTCGGGTCAGGCTGCATTGCCACAACCCTGAGCTCAGCACCACCCGAGCCCCCCACCCCATGCCTACTCTCACCCCCACCCAGGCAAATCCAGGTCTCTTCCCAGGTGCAGGGCACCCCTGGCCCCTGTGCTCCTGCTGCAGCCTGCAAAAGCGCGCCCGCCTAAAACATGCCTGGGCTGGCACACCTGCCGGGCCGGTTCTGTTGCCAGGGCACTTGCCCACAGGGGCCGCCCTGCCCGGTGCCCACTCTCACTGAGCCAGGTCTGCCCCTCCAAGAGGGCAAAAAGCCTCCTGTGGTCCCCTCAGACCCCCAGATCCATTCAAAGAGTCAGAGGGCTAACGCAGAGCTTACCATTCATTCCCACCCTCCCCACCGCCCTTCGCGCAGTCCTGACACTTAAAACATGGCCAGGGTATGTGTGAACTGACGACTTTCCCACACCCAGACACCAGAGCAGTCGGGGTCTGGGGGGGATTTCAAACTGGAGGCCCGGGGAACCAACTCCAGCTCACACCCACAAGCCTTATTTGTTCAGCTCAGTGAGTTTTCTGCCCCCAACAGCTGTCTGAACCGGACAGAAACAGGTAGTCCAGCCAGTCCATTTGTGTCTTGTGGGAGTACAGGATAACGATTTTGAAACTAGTTCATGCTAAAGTTGAACAAATAAATACATAGGTTGTAGATCTGGGCAGCCAAGGTTCATACTGCTGGAGAACGAAGTCACAAGTAAGGAGTGTGGTGCTGAACTGGGGTTATCAGTGTGAACTCATGTTTATTTTAATAGATAAGAAAATAAATATGGGCCTGGCGCGGTGGCTCACGCCTGTAATCCTAGCACTCTGGGAGGCCGAGGCGGGAGGATCGCTTGAGGTCAGGAGTTCGAGACCAGCCTGAACAAGAGCGAGACCCTGTCTCAACTATAAATATAAAGAAATTAGCCAAACAACTAAAAATAGAAAAAATTAGCCGGGCATGGTGGTGCACGCCTGTAGTCTCAGCTACTTGGGAGGCTGAGGCAGGAGGATCGCTTGAGCCCAGGAGCTTGAGGTTGCTGTGAGCTAGGCTGATACCACGGCACTCTAGCCCGGGCAACGGAGCGAGACTCTGTCTCAAAAAAAGGAAAATAAATATGCACATGTGTATATACATGAGTTAGCACGTACACACCAGGCTCTGTCTTCTGAGGGCCTGGAAGCAATGACAGCCCAAAAGTGATGAGTACCCTGTGCAACTGGATCTTGGTCTCTAAATACCATTTTCCAATAGGAAGAACCAGGGATCCTTGGAGAAATGGCTGCTTTTAGGGCTGGGGCAGAAA